CCTACTATATGCCAGTCATTGCAGATGCTAAAATTCACAGGCTACTGAAAGGGAGTGGGATGGTTTTTAGATTCCCTTAAATGGCAGGCCCTCAATGACTCTGAATCCCACTTCCTCAGAAATTTGAATACCAGTCCAAGTGCCAAGAGACAAGACAGGGAGGGAGCCCCATCCTGGGGCGATACTAAAGGAAGGAAAAGGATCTGTGATGCTGCGAGAGCAAAGAACCCTTTCTACTAACGCATATCCCAAGACCCCGTCATTCCAGTGCCTTCCCTATCTTCATTATTTCCTATTTATCCTGTATATAGATTTTTACATATTTTTTTTTCTTGTTGTCTCCTTTCTGACTTGGAGACCAGCTTTCTACCCACGATGACCTTTTCTGCCTCACACTCATTGGATGAATTTCGTGATCAAGGACGAGGGGCTGTCGTCTTATTCATGACAGAAGGATGGCCATAGTAGAGCCCTTCCCTGGGTGGGATCTGTACATCTGGGAGGAGGAGGTGAGGTTCTCTTCCCTATCACTCATGAAGCAAGCATCAAATGAGACAATTTTTTACCTCTCTAATTTATTGATCAGTTGATTTTGTGAGTTAGGGTCATCTGCATTGGGGTTTCATTGTTTTGAAGACACAATAATAGCTCACATATATGTATGTTTTACGAGCTACCATGTAATGCTGAATGTTCCTGTCTTCTTGGGGACCCTGTACAAAAATGTATGTGATATATGCACACATATACATTATGATATATAGATATAATCTCCTTTGAAACTCACAATAACCCTGTGAAGTAGTGTTATTATCTTCATTTTACAGATGAAGACACTGAGACCTGGAAATCCAAGGGGTAGGGAGCTGAAGCTACATTCAACCTCAGATCCTTCCTCTTTCGTCCTTCCTTCTCTTTCTTCTCTCCTTCCCTTCCCTTTCCTCCTTCCCTTCCTTCTCCCCTTCCCTGCTGCTCTTACTGGGGACCACACTGGCTGATCCCATGGCTGGCCCTCTGCCATGTCTACTGCCAGGAGGTTCTCCACCCACCCCCATCTGAAGAGTCCCAGAATCTCAGCCCCAGAGCCAGAAAGGACTTCAAAGGTGACTGAGTTCAATCCATCTAATTGACAGACTTGTTCAAAGTCACAAAATAAGAAGCAGAGATGGATTTGATCCCGGGTCTGCTGACTCCAAGTTCGATGTTTTTTTCCACTCACCACGGTCTCTTATCTCCTTAATGGACAGTAAGCTTCTTGCAGACCCAGAATGCTTTTTAAATCTGGGGTCACCCCCTTCCGCCCAGGACCCAGAACAGTGTTTTGCACCGAACAGTTAGAAAGAACCAAATAAAATCTGTACCAAGCCCTGGAGCCATGGGGCACTAGGGAAGGTGGAGTGATGGAGGTAGGCTTGCAGGGAGAGCTGGCACCCTGTTCTGCTCTTGGGAGGAGATGTCTAGAGAGAAAGCTGCCAGCCCCATCCCCCACCCTAACGACCTCGGGGTGCTGTGAAGGTGGGAGGGCTCAGTCTGTGTGCTGGGAGCCTCACAGCTGGAACTGACCTAATGAACAGGACACAAACAGCTTGACCTTCTAAGGCTGCATAAGAAAAACAGCACCAGATGTCTCCCCCAGAAACAGGGGCCCCTGGATCTCCCTCCTACTGCCCTCTGTCAACAGCTTCTACCTTCACCAGCTGGCATCACCTGCTGCCTCCCAATGTTTACAGAGTCAGAGTGTGTTCTCCTGGGGTAAGAGCTGTAAAACAACCCTGTGATCTCCATGTAGGAGGTCAGGGGAGGCAGGGAAGTAGGAAAAGGCCTGGATTTAGAGTCAGAGAGCCTGGGTGACCTGTCTATCCTGGTCTAAATTAACCATTTAAAGGTTAAAGCTGCAGTAAGACTTTTGGGACAGCCTGTAAAAGACACGGTCCCTGCCAACAAGGGGTGATCCAGGCAAATTGTCAAGACAAGATACACAAACATATATCTGAAGAGTTGTCATTCCTATTCTTCTTGACCCCAGAGAATAGCAATACTGGGTGGATGTAACAGAAAGGCAGATGTAGCACGATGTAAGGTAAAGTTGCCCCCCAAAGTGAAATGGGACCCCTTGGGAGACAAAGAGTTCCCCATCTCTGGAACTCTGGATAGAGTGGGTAACCACTTGCCAAGGGAATTAAAGGGCATTCATTCATTCATTCACTCCTGGATTTGACTGGATCCCAGAATCTCAATATGGACCTCAGAGGGGTTCTAGTCTAGATCCTAGTGAGATTAGAGAAGTGCAAAAAAGTATTATTTGATCCTCACTCAGTTGACGGACTAGCGGGGGACTCTCTGGAGTCCCGTCAGGCGCTGAGAGTATGTGGGGCTCTAACCAAGAACAGGAAGCAGTCCATGTTCAGTGACATGTACATAGCACCAGCCATTATGTGCCAGAGGAGCAAAGCAGGGAGAGGTCATTTCTGGTCAGAGCAAATGATGGAGGGCTTCCTGAAGGAGGCTGGATTTGAGCTGGGCCTTAAAGGCTGAGGAGATTTAGCTGGAAGGAGGTGGGAAGGAGAGGAAGGAGAGAAGAGGGAAGTTTTCCTTCAAGTGGGGGAAGGGTAGGAATAAAGACAGAGTAAAGGACCGGGAATTTAGTACAAGGTACAGCAAGGAGCTAATGACCAGAGGTCCTAACTGGTCTCACAGAAGGCATTTACTCTCCCCTCCAACACACACACACACACACACACACACCACACACACACACACACACACACACCCCTCCTCTTACAGAACAGGGTGACATTTCAAGTCAGGCACTTGACATACACTTGTCTGAATGAAGAGGCTGCTCTCACTTTAAGAAGCTATATGCCTCTACACAAATCATCGCTCCTACTCTGACTTCCTCTTTCCACATCTGTAAAATGGGGATAATAAGACTCACATGAGCTACCAGAGAGAAGGTGAGTGTGAGGACTGAATGAGAATGCCCGCAAAGCCCCTTACAAGTCTTCATGCCCTACAGGAATGTGAGTTAATAAGTTTCCTGAGACAATTTTCTCATCTGTAAGATGGGGATGATAATCTTTGTAACAGCTGCCTTCTAGGGTTGTGGAAAGGAACAAATTACATAATGACCTTAAGGTGCCAAATGAGAAGTACCAATAACTTCTCTGAGCCTCAGTTTCCTCATCTACAAAATGGGATGATAATACCTGTACCAGCTGTCTAGGACCCAAGAATTTAGAACTGGATGGGACCTCAGGGCTTAGCACCTGGCAATGAACAGACTGGATATCCCTTGAATGCTGTTTGATAAACCTGGTTGTCACATGGTTAGAAGGAACCTTAAAGATCCCCTAGGGGGACAGCTAGATGGTGCAGTGGATTGAGCACTGGCCTCAGACACTTGACACTTACTAGCTGTGTGACCTTGGGCAAATCACTTAACCCCATTGCCTAGCAAAACAAACAAACAAAAACAAAAACAAAACAAAACAAAAAGACAAACAAGATTCTCTAGGCCAGAGGTTCTTCACCTGAGGTCCACAGACCCAGATTTTAGAGGTCTATGAACTAGAGGTTTTTTTTTTCAAAATTTGATAACTATATTTCAAATACAATTGATTTCCCTTATAATCCTACACATTTAATCTTATTCATTTGAAAACCTTATTCTGAGAAGGGGTCCATAGATTTTACAAGATGTTGCTCCAGGGGTCCACGACGCAAAAAAAGGTTAAGAACCTCTGATCCTGTCTGATTCCCCCATTTTATAGATAAGAAAATTGAGGCCCGGACAGGGGAAACAACTCCCAAACTCTCCCACGTTAACAGTGATGATGACAATAATAACAGCTTGAAGTTACACAGTGTTTTAATATTTCCTTCCCCAAAATGGGGAATGGTTGTACAAAGATTACTATTCCTATCTTGCAAAGGAGAAAACTGTGACTCACACAGACGAAAGGGTTTACCTATGATCACGCAGCTAGCCAAGAGCTCAAAAAGTTGTTATAAATGTACGGTTGGCAAACTACAATGCATGAAATAAGGTATTCAGGATTATGCCTGCTGTCCAACTGCCTTCACAAAGACCAGTGGGAAACCACTAGGCGGCAGTCTTAAGTCACTGTGAAATTAGCCATGGAATCCCAGAACTGGAATCACAGAATCTCGTAACTAGAATCATAAAATCTTAGAAACGCAATCACAGAATCTCAGAACTGGAATTACAGAAGTTCAGATCTAGAATCACAGAATCTCAGAACTAAAATCATTGGAGTTACAGAATTTCAGAACTGGAATCACAGAATCTTCAGAGCTGGAATTATGGAATCTCAGAACTAGAATCACAGAATCTCATTACTAGAATCACAAAATCTTAGAACTGGAGTTACAGAACTTGAGAACTGGAGTCACAGAAGCTCAGAACTGGAATCACAGAATCTCATAACTAGAATCACAACTTAGAAACGGAATCACAGAATTTCAGAACTGGAATCACAGAATCTCAGAATTAGAACCACAGAATCTGAGAACTAAAATCACAAAAATCACTGGAATTACAGAATTTCAGAACTGGAATCACAGAATTTCAGAAATGGAAACCACAAAATCTCAGAACTGGAATCACAGGAGCTCAGAACATGGAGTCATTGTTACACAGCCTAAACCGTCCTCTCTCTAACTTGCCCCTGTTGCTCCTAGTTTTGTCCTCGGGGGTTAAGAACAAGACTAATCACTCTTCTATAGGACAATTCATCAAACTTCTAAAGTCACCTATCATGTTCCCTCTGAGCCTTTTCTTCTTTAGGCTAAACATTCCTGTTTCCTTCAATCAATCCTCAAATGACACTGAAGCAACAACAGTGATAAACACTGACAGCTTTTTAAGGAAAGCTTGGAGAAAAAGAGAAAAAGCCCATTTGAATGTGGGCCCCCAAAAAAGCCCAACAGGGTCTCAGCCAGACTCAGCCCTCTGCCAGGAGAGACAGCCTGGTTACCTGCAGATCTCCAGCGGATACTTTGTGGTAAATGACCTCCTCATCCCGGCGCTTCTCCTGGGGAATGGTGATGTTGGCTAGTGCCGTCTCAAAGTCCAAGATCTGTTGCATCTGGTAACGAATAGAATCCTCATCTCCTCCTCCTAGGAGCTTGCCCAACTGCACCATGTAGTTCAGGTAGCCTGTCAGGACCTGGAAGAGCCAAGATGACATAGTGAAGGGTAAGTGGATGGGAAGCCTGAGGACCTGGGTTCTGGTCCTACCTTGGCCGCTAACTTTCTGTGGAAGGTTGGGCAAATAAGTCACTTCTCCACTCTGGGCCCATTTCCTCATCTATAAAATGAGAGCCTTAGGCCAGATGACCTCTCTAACTCTAGATCAAGATTCCCATTCTTTTTTTTTTTAATTAAATTTTCTTTTTTTAATGAATAAAAATCTCTTTTCTCTCCCTCCTACTTCCCCTGCCACTGGAAAAAGAAAAACAAAACCCTTGTAGAAAATATTTATAGTAAAAAAATAAAAAGCAAATTCCTGAATGGGTCATGTCTCAAGATATGTGTCTCATTTGGCCCCCTGAGTACAGGGATCCCTTTCCACATCTTGCCTATGTAGTCTTCCTTGGTCCCCACACCTGGAAATGATTGCTCATTTTTCTAATCACATGGTGTTTTGTACTCTTCCTATGAATTTATTATAATCCAATCTATTTTACATTTTATTTATTTGTGTGCATGGCTTATTTCTCCTGCTAGACTGTGTATCACCCATCTTGGTATCTACCTTCACCCTAGTGTCATGAACAGTGAAGTGCATACAGTAGGCACTCAATAAATGTTTGCTGAACACTGAATGAAAGAATGATGTGGACCTCCAGGGCTGGGGAAGGGAACCTCACCTGACTCTTTCTTCCTTCACAGAATCCCAGAACCTCAGAGCTGGAAAGGGAATTGGAGAACAACACACTGGACAGGGGATTATGCCCACCTCTGCCTTTGCTCGAAAGTTTTTCCTGACCTCGAGCCTAAATCTGCCTCTCTACAACTGGCACATAGTCCCTTGGTTCTGCCTTCTGGGGCCAAGTACAACAAAAGCTAAGGGCTCGTCCCATGGCGGTCCAAAGACAGCTTATGAACCACACCCCCACCCGGCCTCCTCTTCTCCGGGCAAACATCCAGTCTAACATTTAGTTCTTTTAAGCCAGGGTCTTTAACCTCTTTTGGGTCCTTAACCATTTTGGGAGCAGCTTGGTGGCACAATGGATAGAATGCCAGGCCTGGAATCAGAAAGACCTGAGTTGAAATCCAGCCTTAGACACTTACTAGCTGTGTGACCCTGGGTGAGTCACTTAACCCTGTTTGTCTCAGTTTCCTCATCTATAAAATGAGCTAGAGAAGGATGTGGCAAACTACTCCAGAATCTTTGCCAAGGAAACCCCACATGGGGTCACAGAGAGTCAGACATGACTGAAAATGACTGAATAACAACAACCTTAACCTCTTGTGTGTCACAGACACCCTGGGTGGTCTGGGGGGAGCCTAAGAGCTCCTACTCAGAATAATGTTTTTAGATGCATAACATAAAATGCACAGAATTACAAAGGAAATCAATTATATTAAAATATGGTAATAAAAACATATTTTTTAAAAATGAAAAACCTCTGCTTTTAACGTTCCTTGTACAGCCTGGACTCTGGGCCCTTCATGATTCTGGATACTGCCCTCCTTTGGAGACTCTCTAACCTAACCAAGTCTGTCCTAAAATGTGGGGCGCCTAGAGAGGAGCACAGCGCTCCAGAAATCACTGTTGTTGTCGTCTGACCCAGCGGGGGGACAACAAGACATTCACCTCCCTGATCAGCTCTGGCCATGATGTCTCTAAATGCAGCCTAAGATGGCTTTTTTGGCAACCACCTCACATTGCTGACCTTGCAAATCCCCTAGAACCCCACAGGCCTTTAAAAAAAGAGATGTTTTATTATAAACTTAATCATTTAACATTAAGCCTTAATGAAATAAGTACAACTTGCTTTATGATTAGTTACATTTATTGAATGAATTTTAACACTCAGGCATTCATTCATTTAATAATCATTTATTTTTCTTTCCCATACTAGGCAGGCAAGCTTGGTGCAGCTCTGCCCAGGGGCATTTCCCATTGAAACAGAGAGGAAGCTCATTTGTCTCCTGCTTTGGACCTCATGTGACTTGTTCAGGAAAGACTCCTTGGCTCAGGGGGTTTATTGCTGATTTCCCACCAGCCAAATAATATCTTTGCTCTTTGCTAGCTTTAAATTCTCTCTAGTGCGGATGGCCTCAAAAAAAAGGGCCTATTTGGAAGAGAGGGGAGACAAGAGGAGAGGAGGGAAAGAAAGAGAAGCAGAGGAGCGGAGGAGAAAGATGAGGTTCTCGCACCTGGAGAAAGTGACCTGGGACCGTGGGGAGCTGGGGTCTCTGATCAGTGATACTCACCTTCTCATTTTCTGTCTTATTCAGATAATAATCTCTTGAAGGTAAGCCTAAACCAGACTGGTCCACCTAGAAGAAAACAAAAGAGGTACTGGTGATCATCAAGAAAAGACCCATATGTACTCATTTCTCAAATATATAGGGAACTGAGCCATATTTATAAAAACAAGAGCCATTCCTCAATTGATAAATGGATGAAGGATATGAACAGGCAGTTTACAGAAGAAGAAACCAAAACTCTCAATAGTCACATAAAAAATGCTCTAAATCACCACTGATTAGAGAAATGAAAATTAAAACAACTCTGAGATACTGCCTGTCAGATGACCTAACACGACAGAAAAGGAAAATATCAAATGCTGGTGGGGATGTGGAAAAAATAGGGACACTAATGTACTATTGGTGGAGTTGTTAACTAGTCCAACCATTCTGCAGAACAATTTGGAACTATATCCAAAGGGCAACCAGACTGTGCATACCCTTTACCCAGCAATACCACTACTAGTCTATATCCCAAGAATATCAAAGACATAGGAGAAGGACCCACATGTACAAAAATATTTATAAGAGCTCTTTTTGTGGCGGTAAAGAAGTAGAAATGGAGGGGATGCCCATCAACTGGGCAATGGCTGAACAAACTGTAGTATATGATTGTGATGGAATACTACTGGAATGTGTTACAAGAAATGACAAGAAGAAAAATGGTCAACTCAAAAGCATATGGAAGTGATTGTTGATAAATCAAAATAAATTAATAAATTTTTTTAAAAAATTATAAAAAAAAAAGAAAAAGAAATGACAAGGGAGGGGTAGCTAAGTGGCACAGTGGACAGAGCACTGGCCCAGAAGTCAGGAGGACCTGAGTTCAAATCCGGCCTCAGACACATAACACTTACTAGCTGTGTGACTCTGGGCAAGTCATTTAACCCCAACTGCCTCACGAAAAAAAAAAAGCTTCGGGACAACTAGGTGGCACAGTGGATAGAGCTCCAGTCTTGAAGTCAGGAGGACCTGAGTTCAAATCTGGTCTCAGACACACACCATACCACACGTAGGAGCTGTGTGACCCTGGGCAAGTCACTTAATTCCAACTGCCTAGCAAAAAGCAAAAAAAAAGAAAGAAATGACAAGGGGGATGGTCTCAGAAAAACCTGGAAATACTCATATAAACTGATGCAAAATGAAACTAGTAGAACCAGGAGAACAGTATAGCCAGTAACAGCAATACTGTATGATGATCAACTGTTAAAGACTCAGCTACTCCAATCAATACAATGATCCAAGACAATTTCATAGGACTCATGATGAGAAATCCCTCCAGAGGGAGAACTAATGAACTCTGAGGGCAGACTGAAGCGTACTTTTTTCACCTACTTTATTTTTCTTGCTTTTTTTGTTGTTTGCAATGTGGCTAATATGAAAATGTTTTATATGATTTCACATGTATAACTGAAACCATATTGCTTGCCTTCTCATTGGTTAGAAGAGGGGCTGGAGGGAGGGAGAAAACTAACTGGGGACTCAAAATTTTAAAAAAATGAATATTAAAATAAATAATATAATTTAAAAAAAACCACGGACCAAAGTCATTGCCTGACTGAATTCTGATGTTGGGAGAAGAGCACTGGGTATGGATTTCAAGTCTGATCTTTCTTCGACCTTAGATGAGGCTCTTCTCTTTGGACCTCAGTTTTCTTATCTGGGAAAGGCAAGAACTAGCCCAGGTTGGGAGATGGGGAGGGGCACGGATGTCCTGGGCAGGTAACAGGCAAACTGCCCAGATGTTTTCATCCAGGCAGGGCTGCTCGAGGGCTAGACATTTTTATACAATTCAGAGGCTGGGGCCCCAAATGGCCCAGGGGGTAGAACTCACCTGAATCACATTGCTGTTGGAGTTCTTTGAGTCGGCACTGACATAGACAGAGAAGAAAGGAGAAGTCCGATAGTGAGCAGTGACCACCTGCAGGGTCTCCTGGAAGTTGTCCTTGTCCCATGGGCCTGTGATATTCCAGCCACCAAGCTACGGGAGATGAGAGAGAACAGAGGTGAGAATGTTGAGGACCTGGCAAGAGTCCCTGCTTAATTACACTGGGGCAAAAACAATAACGGTTCATATTGCCGTAGCCCTGTGAGTTAGGATAAGTATTATGAGTCCCATTTTACAGATATGGAGACCGAGGCTGACAGAGGGCCACAAAGCTAGTAAATGTCAAAGCCAGAATTCAAATTCAAGCGTCTCCTTGTTGCAAGACTCAAGTATCCCTTCAAGTTAGATGGGAATAAGAGAGACAATGAGATCTGGTAAGGAGGGGAACGAGCATTAGTATAAACTTGTGTGATGGTCGCCTTTATGCCGTGATCACAAGTCACGTTTTAGAGAAACAAAGGGTGATTCTTACATTTTTATTATAAGGGATATACACAGAATGTCAGAGCTGGGAAGGCCATTACAACCCAGAATGTCAGAGCTCTGAGGGCCCTTACAACCCAGAATGTCAGAGCTGGGGGGGCCCTTAGAACACAGGATGTCAGAGCTCTGAGGGCCCTTACAACCCAGAATGTCAGGGCTGGGAGGGGTCTTGGGACACAGAATGTCAGAGCTCCGAGGGCCCTTACAACCCAGAATGTCAGAGCTGGGGGGGCCCTTAGAACACAGGATGTCAGAGCTCTGACGGCCCTTACAACCCAGAATGTCAGAGCTGGGAGGGGTCTTAGAACACAGAATGTCAGAGCTGGGAGGGGTCTTAGAACACAGAATGTCAGAGCTGGGAGGGCCCTTAGAACCCAGGATGTCAGGGCTGAGAGGGCCCTTAGGACACAGGATGTCAGAGCTGGGAGGGCCCTTACAACCCATAATGTCAGAGCTGGGAGGGGACTTAGAACCCAGAATGTCAGGGCTGAGAGGGCCTTAGGACACAGAATGTCAGAGCTGAGAGGGCCCTTAGAACACAGAACGTCAGAGCTGGGAGGGCCCTTAGAACCCAGGATGTCAGGGCTGAGAGGGCCCTTAGGACACAGGATGTCAGAGCTGGGAGGGCCCTTACAACCCAGAATGTCAGAGCTGGGAGGGGACTTAGAACCCAGAATGTCAGGGCTGAGAGGGCCTTAGGACACAGAATGTCAGAGCTGAGAGGGCCCTTAGAACACAGAATGTCAGAGCTGGGAGGGCCCTTAGAACCCAGGATGTCAGGGCTGAGAGGGCCCTTAGGACACAGGATGTCAGAGCTGGGAGGGCCCTTACAACCCAGAATGTCAGAGCTGGGAGGGCCCTTAGAACCCAGAATGTCAGGGCTGAGAGGGCCTTAGGACACAGAACGTCAGAGCTGGCAGGGACTGCGTTCAGTCATTCATTTTGTGCTTGGCACCTTGGTTAGCAGCCCCCAGGTCCCCCGCTCAGCCTGCTCACTGTGATGTCACAGGGAAGAAGATGAGAAAGAATGCTGAGAGCCCCTGCCCCCACCCATTTCCTGAGGGGGAGGGGAGAGGCCACTGGGGGCTCCCTCCACACAGAGAAGGTATCTCTCTAATCCTGGGCCAAGACCATCTGTCTTTCATACGTACACCCTTTGAGGAAAAGGAAGTAGCGACATTGAGAATTTCCTGTTCAAAACATGCTACCATCCATCAGAATCAGAAGTAGGGCAGTGTGGGAAGAACAGTGAATCACTACTGATTTCACCTCCCTGGGTCTCAGTTTCCTCAACTGTCAAAAGAAGAGATTGGGCTACACAGCCTCAGAGATGCCTTCCAGTCAGCCAACTGGCATTTATTAGGAACCTACTACGTACGAGGCATCGTGCTCACCTCTAGACTATGATCCCAGAAGGGTGAGCGCCCTGCCTGGGAAGGTGATCTTCCATAAACACAGGGCAGCTCCGGTACTACTTCATTAAGTGGCTTACTTATACACTTTACTGCTTTTTTTAAATTCTTGATACTGTGACAAGTTTGTGTTGGTTGACAACTGTTGCCTCCAGAGAGGCCCAGGAGTGGTGGTGCAAGGGAGAGAGATGGGGGGAGGGCAGAGGTGGCAAAGCCAGCCCAGAGGGTAGGGAGCCCTACCTTCTCAATCAGCTCCATCAGAGGCCTGGCCTTCAGCTCCTCGATCTTGGACTCGTTCATACAAGCCTGGTAATACTGCTGGGCCTTGCGTTCAGCCTCATTGGTGCTGGCGGTGGTGTTTTCTGAAAGAAAAAGACAAGGAGCAGCTGAAGCTAGGATCCCCAATTAGAGAGATTTTATTCTTCTTGGATCAAACTCTCTCAGATAACCTCGGCCTTTCAGGGCTGAAAGTTGCCTTAAAACTTGGGCTGGTTGAGCTGGAAGAGAGCTTGGAATGTCAGAGCTAAGAGGGAGCTTTGACAGGATGCCGGGGCCAGAGTGGACCTCAGGACGCAGAATGCCAGGGTCAGCGTGGACCTCAGGATGCAGAAATTAGGGCAGAGTGGACCTCAGGACAAAGAACATTAGGGCAGAGTGGACCTTGGGACACAGAATGCCAGGGTCAGCGTGGACCTTAGACCATAAAGACCTGTTTTCCATTTCCCTTTCTCTTCCTTGTAAATTGCATCTCAGTTTGTTCCTTGATCTAGATTTTTAGAGCTGGGAGGTCCCTTAAAACAAAGACTTTCAAAGCTAGAAAGGCACTAGAATGCCAGAACAGGACGAAGACTTAAGAGGTCATTTGATTTGGCCTTGTGGTCTAATCTGGCCCACTCCCTGTGTTTGTAGAGTCCGTGAGCTCAGACTGGTTTCTGCATTTTAAAGTCAAGTCTTCTTGTACTTATTAGAGTCTAATGCAGCCCCTTGATTCTTATAGATGGAGAAAGCATGGCCCAGCAGAGGGAAATGATCTCCCAAGGTCACACATGACTGAGAGGCAGAACCAGGATCTGAAGATCCAGGTGTCCTCACACGTAATTCACTGTTTTTAGTTCTTGTCCCTGAACATTCATGCTTTTCCTTTGTGCTCCTCCTTAGTAGCCTGGCTAGGCTGTCACCTCATTTTACTGCATTTTGTCAATTAAATTTTCAGAGATGTGAAATGCTCTGAAAAGGGCAGACTCCCTGATAATCCATAACAGTATCCTGGGCCTCTCCCTCGGTTGGAAAAGTTTATTCCTCGAAGGGAGGCCCCTCCCCCAACCTATGGCCAAATCAAGCATTTTGTAGTTGCTGCTATAACTTCTTCTGTACTTTGGACTTCCTCTGCCAAAGGAGTCAGATGGTGGCACAGCGGATAGAAGAACACTGGGCCTGCAGTCAGGAAGGTCAGAGCTCAAATCTAGTCTCAGACATTTACTAGCTGTGTGATTGTGGACAAGTCACTTAATCTGATTGCCTCAGTTTCTTCAAATATAAATGGGGATAATAAGAATACCTACCTCACCTATTGTTAGGATTGATTGAGGTAATATCTATAAAAGCATAGTACAATGCCTGACACATAGCAGGTGCTCTATAAATGCTTATTCCCTCATCCCCCAAACTTTAGGCTTAGCAAGCTTTAGCCACGGGAGGGCCTTTAGCTTTCCATTCTGCCACAAAATTCTCTCATTTGCTGGTGGGAAGAGGGAAGGGAGGGAGAAGGGACTGGGGAATATGTGGGTCTGTTCTGATTTTCAGATCACAGCTCATCTTTCTTTCTACTTAAGGCTGTATGTAGCTCATATAAACTACTCAAAGCCTCGTTCATTATTAATTAATTTCCCCTCTCACTTTATCCTCCTCAGGTACACAGGCTATTTAAAGACCTGTTTTCCATTTCCCTTTCTCTTCCTTGTAAATTGCATCTCATTTCATTCCTTGATCTAGGTTTTTAGTTACCTTAAACATCCGTGTGATTACTTTATGGGCTGCCACCCTATTTTACTGTCTTTTTCAGTTAAATTTTCAGAGACACGGAATGCTCTGATGAGGGCAGACTTCCTGATAGTGCCTGTTGTCCTGGGGTCAGAGTTGTACAATCAATGTTTAAACTGTTAAGAGACCTTAGAACACAGAATGTAAAACCACTGCTTATCAGGCCTGTAAGAGCATCCAAGCAGGAGGGAATTTAGGACCTAGAATTTTAGAACACAGATAGAACTACAAAAAAGATTAGACTGTGGATCTGTTAGGTCACAAAATGTCTGGGCTCCAAGGGAATGTAGAACATAGAATTTGAGAATGTGGAATGTCAGAATAGGAGGGATCTTAGAATACAATGTGAGAGCCAGCAGGGAACTTAGAACATAGGGTGTAAGAACTTGAAAGGACCTTAGAATACACAATGTTAGAACATAGACTGTCAATGCTAGAAAGGTTCTGTGTTTTGAAGTCTTTCTCAGCTCTGACATTTTGTGTTGTAAGGCCCCTCCCAGGTCTGACATTCTGAGTTCCAAGGTCTCGTTCATCTATGATAGTCCATGTTCTAAGGTCCCTCCCAGCTCCAGCATGCTGTGGTGAAGAAACCAGCTCAATAGTCCATATTTAATTTGTATTAAATAAGGCTATGTGGTGTGTCAACTTCTATTACATTGAGGTTGACTTTATTTAATCATCTGAAATTGAATTTGTAGGTAATAAATTTCACACTGTGGCACCGAGACATGCTTTTCTACCATAACTGACCATGAAAAATAGCTAAGAATGGAGGCTGTACAGTGTGGTAGAAATAATAACAATTTACAATTCTAAATTGATGTAAGGTTTACACAATGCTTTAAAAGCATCAGTCTGGAAAGGGAGAGCAGGAAGCCTTCTGGGAAAGGCAGTGGTTTTCTGTGCCATAAGATGAGAAAAAGAGAAAGATAAAATAGAGAGAGAGAGGAAGGAAAGGGGGTGGAAGAGGAGGGAGGGGAATGGGAGAGGGGGGAAAGAGAGGGAGAGACAGGGAGGAAGAGGGAGGGAGGGAGAGGGAGAGAGGGAGAGACAGAGAGAGAGAGAGACAGAGACAGAGAGAGGAGGGAGAGGAAGAGAGGGAGAGAGGACAGAGAGAGGGAGAGAGAGGGAGGAAGAGAGAGGGAGAAAGAGAGAGGAAGGAGAGAGAGGGAAAGAGAAGAGGAGGAGGAAAGGCCAGAAAAGAGGAGAGAGGGGAAAGAAGAAAGTAAAGAACATGAAGAGGAGGGTAGGCATAAAGTAAGGGAAAGAGGAGAGGAAGACAGGGGATATAGGAGGGGGAAAAGAACAAAAGGGGAGGATAAAGAAGGGGAAAAGAGAAGGTACAAAATGGAGGAGGGGAATGCAGTAGAGGGGAGAAGGAGAATAAGAAGAAAGGGGGAAGAGGGCAGGGATAAGGAACGAGAAAAGAGGGAAGTGCAGGGAGAGGGGGAAGGGAGAAAGAGAAGATGGAAAAAGATGGGGAGGAGAAAGAGGGAGGGTTATGGGTAGAAAAGAGAGGGAGAGAATAAACTAGGGAGAGGATGGGGGAGAGAGAAGAGGGACAGCACAAGAGAGGACAAGGAGTAAGAAATGAGCAGAGAAACTGAAGTGGGATGAAGAAGGGGAGAGGGCTGGGAAGAGGGCAGGCACAGGGGGACTTCCCAGGGCTCCCCGCCAGAGAGAACATCTCATGCCAGAGCAGCCCAGCTTTCCAACACAACACTCTTGTTTGCATGAGAAAGCAGCTGGGAGCAGGGAGGGGGAGGAGAAGAGGCGTCAGAGGCGAGTCACACAGAGAAACCTGCGTTTCTATGGGAACCCCTCCTCAGCATCAGCCCAGCATCTGCTCCTCCCTCCCTCCTGCTAAGACAGGAGGGCTGGAGGACCAGCCCAGAGTCTGGGCGCAAATACCAGGGCCCCCAGGAAGCAGGAGCTTCCCCAGCTCAAACATCTGGCTCTAGTTCAGACCCTGAAATGCCAAGGCTGTGGTGGGGAGCAAGGGGAGGGGTTGGAGTCTAGGCTAGAAAACCCTGAGCCAGGTTGGGTCCCGCCCTCACCCTCCCTCAGCAGCCGGAGGAAGGTCACTAGAGATAAGAGAGGCAAACAAAGGCATCCACGAGAATGGTGAACATAGCTCCCAAAATTCCAGTAAATTACCAGGCTTGGGAGACTGCCTCCCCTCCCCGCCCCGAAATGTGTCCAATACAACAAAGGTGGGGGAGGAGCCTGATGCACCGGGAGGCCCCAGGGGCAGGCAGAGGCAGATCTGGGTTTGACTGCCAAGAGCTATGGGGTTCTGATCTAGCCACTGCCGCTTAGGTGCAGAGGGACCAACCACTGGGAAACCATGTCACTTCTCTCAGCCTCAGCTTGCTCATCTGCTGAATGGAGATAATGGCAGCACTTACTTCCCAAAAACTGATGTAAGGTTCAAAATGGAGAACCAGTATAAAGTATAGCACTTCATGCCCCTATAATCCTGAGGACAACTGGCCCTCTGAGTCAGGAAGCCCTGGGTTCAAGGTAGCCACAGAGGAAAGACAAGGAGGCTGGAGGTCTCACCTCGTGTTTCCTACTCCAAGGAAACCACAGGTTGGGATCATTTCTAAAAATATGATTATTGCTGTTAAATTTTCCTAGGAGGGGCCTTAGAACACAAAAAGTCAGTAATAAGAGGGGCCTTGGAACACTGAAAGTCAGAAATAGGAGGGACCTTAGAACACAGAAAGTCAGAAATAGGAGGGACCTTAGAACACTGAAAGTCAGAAATAGGAGGGACCTTAGAACACAGAAAGTGAGAAATAGGAGGGACCTTAGAACGCTGAAAATCAGAAATAGGAGGGATCTTAGAACATAGAAAGTCAGAAATAAGAGGGGCCTTGGAACACAGAATGTCAGAAACAGGAGGGACCTTAGAACACTGAAAGTCAGCAATGGGAGGGACTTTAGAACACAGAATGTCAGAAACAGGAGGGACTTTAGAACACTGAAAATTAGAAATAGGAGGGACCTTAGAACATGGCATGTCAGAGCTTAAAGGGACCTTAAAGATTATCTCATCATAGGATTACAGATCTAGAGCTGAAATGGACTTTAAAGTTTTTCGTGTCCAATCCTCATTTCAGAAAAGAGAAAAATAGGTCCAAAGTAGTCAAATTATTATTTTGTTTTTCTTTTTTTGCCAGGCAATGGGGGTTAAGTGACTTGCCCAGGGTCACACAGCTAGTAAGTATTATGTGTCTGAGGCTGGATTTGAACTCAGGTCCTCCTCACTCCAAGGCCGGTGCTCTATCCACTAAGCTACCTAGCTGCCCTTGAAAAT